ATATATATATATATATATATATGTATATATACTGTATTTATATACATATATATGTGTATGTGTATATATATATATATATATACTGTATATATATTTTACATGTTTTTGTAGTTGATTTCCTTTTTTTCTTTTCTTTCCTCTGTGTTGATTTCCTCACGGACAGCACTTTAATATTCCTTGTTTTCTCATTTTATTCTCTTTTCCTAATCCTGCTGTTTTGTTTTTTAATCCTCAGACACACTTCAGTTTAGGCGTCGGCTGGTTTCCTTCTCGTGCTGTGACTTTCGACCCTTTCATACTTTTCAAACACAGAAACCTTTAAAGGTTTCTTGAGTTTAGCTTCAGTCAAGCTCCACTCGGTGCATATCTGATACCCCCCCCCCCCCCCCCATTAATCCACCTGCAGCCCTTTTGGCTTCCATCATTGTTGTTACTTTAGAACCTCTCTGCGGCCCAGTTTCTCTGTGAATAATCACACAGGTTCATTGTGGAAGCGACTGCGGTGCCAAAAGTCATTTCTTCATCTGGCTGCAGCTTTATACCAGGTCAATCAAGCTGAAATATCTCAGCCAGGGCTCGTGTTTCATTAGGCATCTCTCCCTCCCCATGAATATAATTACTGCGTCTGCACCGGCTCCCCAACTTCAAACGAGCTCAATTGGGTCTGAACTTGAGGAGAACTTTTTAAACGCTTCATTTGAGAGCCTGATTCAGTGTTTGGTAATAAATCTGGAGAGTTTTAGTGGCATTTTTAGACAGATCAGTAGAATCTCATTCAAAGGTACTTCACCTGCTTATTGTGCGTCTCGGGGGCTTTTTTTATGTCAAAATGGCTCCATAATCTCTGATCTTATCTTTATTTAACTGCATTTGTAAATAATTTGATTACCGCTAGTTTTGTCCCGGTACTAACCTCAAGTACTTGTACTCATAAAAACACCCCGGTATTTCAAACTAATACCAATTTTATGCTTGATGATGTCATTTCCTGTTCCACTTCACAAGTAACCAAGGGCAAAAAATAGAAAAAATGTTTGTATTTTGTAGATATTTTAAGATAAACACAGGTGATATGAAGACAACAGACTGTTTGCTGTCTTCTTAATAAAAGAAACAAGTTTCTAAAGTCACTGTGAAATGTTTAAGTACTAACTCATTAACTACTCAGTATCAATACACAGTATCGGCAAGTTTTCAAACTAAAATACTTGTACTTGCACTCGGTCTGAAAAAGAAAAAGCTTTGGGACACAACTAATTACGAAAGATAAAACATGGAGTCTAAAACATGTTTGACTGCCTACAGACCTAGGCCTCCCTAAAAATATTTGATCTCAGTGGGATTTACCTGGTTAAATAAAGGTTACTGGTAATAATAATAAAAATAATAACAATAACTACTATAGAAATGTCCGTTCCTGTGAAAATGCAGCCTGCATGTTTATTGCTTAATGATTTTTGCTGAAAGCTGCTGAAAAAGTTTCATCACTAAACCGTTAAATTAAACTAAACCGTTTTTATACTTTATATTTTTGCTGTTTTTTGGGTGTAAGTGGGACCTTGAGTACACAATTTTGTTCCACTTCATGTACCACATGTGATGTAAATGACAATAAAGAACCTTGAACCTTAATGATTTTGAACAGCTGAAATGTGCTGAAAAAAAAAAAAAAAGTATAAATGTCCAGAAAAGGCTGAAATAAGCAGAGGGAGATTACAAAAAAATCTGAAATTAGCAAAAAGAAACTGAAATGAGCTGCATTTAGCAAAAGACTAGCTGAAAATTGTAAGAAGATGCTGAAAGAAGCATAAACTGTTGAAATTTTAAGAAACACAAAAAAGTGGAAATTGGCAAAACATAAAAAGCTAAAATTAGCAGAAAAATACCTAAAAGGCAGGAAAAGACTGAATTTAACAGAAAGAAGCTGAAATTGGTGAACCAGAACAAAACCTGAAATAAGCAGTAAAAGCTTGTAAACGGCACAAAGTTTGAAGGATGTGGAGAGCTCCAGTCAATCTTAATGAGAAAAACATGGCCGACAAATCTAAATATTTCAAAAAGTAAAGTAAAACATGGCCGACAAATCTAAATATTTCAAAAAGTAAAGTTTACTCAAAAACCAAAAGAGCTGGAATGCCCTGAATGAGCCGAACGTTTCGATGTCTAAATTGTTGAAATGGCAGTTATGTGCCCAAAAATGTACGGAAGAAAAATGGATCTCAATTATGATTAAGTAGCATAATCATTTCCATAAATATTTTTGGTACGTGTCATTTGTCTGTCTGTTAGCAAAATATCTCACAAACAATTGTTCTAATTTTACTGAAACTTTCAGAGTCTGCTTGATTCAAGTTGGCTGTCGCTGCTAATGGACATCAGCAAACCCCAAGTTATCAATAACTCCGTTATCTACCCAGAACGTAGCTCATAGTCATCCCTAACACGTACTTGGTGCCCAAACAGATTACCGTACTTTCTGTCGTACTTGTCGCACTGCCATATAAGTTGCATCAGTCCAAATATGTCTAATAAAGTGGAAAAA